AGTCTCAGTTCGCGATTCTAAAAAATGTCTTGGCAGTCAATCAGGTCAGTTCACTACCTCCAGACTGACAGTTTGAACCGCAAAGATGAACTGACAACTGACTGATTGACTGATAGCAACTCTGTCTCGTAGTCCCAAGTAGAGTTACTGCAAGGCGGATATGCTATGGTGCATGAAGTCTTTGCCGCTTGGCCGCTGATCTGTTAGTAGCATCACCAGGAGCACCATTGTTCCCATGTCACAAGCTTCATGCCGCCGAATTTATTGGCTGTCGTTGACTGAACAGAGCAGACACAAGGTAGACACAGAGTGATGCATGAATCCTCTGCCGCCCTGGGACCAGACTGTGACTGGTATGTTTGAAGTCCTTGTTCTCCAAGATCTTTGGCGTTAAGATACCGAGACATATTGGCTCCTACGACACTGACCATGGTGTTATCAAGGCAGATATGGCGCGCCGCATAAGATTCTTGCCACTATGGCGCTCTTTAGTATGTTATGCATCCCGAAATAGCTGTTTCTCTATCTCGAGATTCATGCCACGTAGACCCATTGGCTCTCATTGCACTGAGCATATTGTTGACAAGGCAGAATTCTCTCGCTGCATGGGACCATCTGTCTCAGAAGAAATGTGTATGGGTGGCATGTTGAGCGGTGTGTAGGATGAGGTGGGAGTTAGTCTGAAATATCCCGTTCAATGATCGGAAAATTGAGTCCATGCTGGAGCTCTATATAAGAGGTGATACCGTCCTTGATAAATGCAGCAAAGATGGCTCTCACTCAGGACAAACACAATCTCGCGCAAAGTAGCCCAGAGTAAGTTTTAGTGGTGGGTACTATGACCAAGATCCTGACATGCAAACAGCCTCTACTTCCAAGTCGATATCAATCCTGATAATCAGATGGCTTCCAAAAAGCGACACAACGGCTTGAAGGTAAGCATCGTTCGATTGAGAGGTAACAACCATTGCTGACGAGATATAGCTCGAATACCGCGTCAAGAAGAAGTCGACACCGTGCATGTCACTCCGAATGCTTGAACTGGAACGTCATCTTGGAGTCATGCGTGACCAATCCATCTTGCTCAAAAGATCCCCTACCGAGACGAATGCGCTTGAGGTACATCGAAGTGTGCTTACCGCAACCTGCATGCTCTCTGCTATAAGCACGAACGTCAGCGAGTATCAGGACGAGAACAGTCATCTGAAGCTTCGTCAACAACAGACGGAGAGATTCCTGAAAAGTAAAGACCAACAAAACAAGGTTCTGTTGGCAGCACTACAAGGTGTCATTCTGGACATTGGAGTTGGCCACTGCAACCAATGTGGCATGGGGTTCGGAAAAGGCTCACCCTGGATAATGGAGAAATGTGGAGCTGTAAGTGAACTTTAGTCATGGGTGACCAAAATGCTAAGTATTTCTAGCCGTGGTGCTTCAACTGCGCTATAAAGTCCCATGCTGTATGCCGTCATCACAAGAGGCTTGGTGAGCAAAATTTCCAACGGCTCCATAGCACGATGTGCGGTGTCTGTGACCTTACCGATCCAGAAAAGTTGATCCAAACCTCCTGCGGTACGTCCGCTATCGATATACACCTCTTAGCCTCATACTAAGACTCTCTTAGGACACCCTATCTGTCGAGACTGTGCAGCCCTTGAGAAGGGCGACGGTATGGCCAAAATTTCTTGCCATATTTGTGGCTGCCGCTACAAGTATCAAGAGTTGTTAGCGTTACCGTCACTTCAGCATACTCAAAGCGGGGAGCGCACTACGGTACATGGAGAGTTGATTGCTTGCAATGAACAGAATCAGGAAAGCGATGAAGAGAATGAAGAGAATGAAGAGATAGGAAAGAAGCCATTCTAACTTAGCCCAGCTGCACAACAAGCTCTTGGAAGTGCATTGGAGACCCAACTGGATGGATCTAGAGGATGCAGTGGCTGAGGGTTACATTCCCCTTGTGAGGTCCTTTCTGTGGCAAATCAGGCACCCCTTCATCACAGCAACCTTTTTACGATTGTTTTCGAGAACTATGGTGTACGGTCTTCTATTAAGTTGTCTTCTAGTTTTTCTTTTTCATTGCTATCGCAGTCTATTTGGGTAACATACTACCAGCCTCGAGTCTCTCGACAGCTTCCTGACGAATTTTATTTGATGCTTTCACATGTTGACGCTGTCTCCACACGCACCAGACAATTAATGCCACGAATACCACAAAGATAGCTGCAACCACTCCGACGACTAGAGGCGAGCTGAATATGGGCTTTTTACCGCTATTAGGTGTTGGGGTGGTCTTGGCTATCGCTGATGGAACCATTTTGGTCTCGGACCTTGACTTCTGAGATTACGTTAGTTGTACGCCAGAGTCCGGTTGGGGTGATCTAACTTACCATATATCAAAATGCGTCGGAAGATCGCCTTGAGCCTTCTCAGCTGCGAGTCTTGGTGTGGATCTAACAAACTCCAAAGGGTCAGTTAACTTACGCAGATACCGAAAGGTGTACTTACGAGTATGGTGGCAGGTTGTTTTCCTGCTGTTGGGCAGTGCTTTTCGGCGAATATCGAATGAAGATGATGCAGCACATGTTCATTACGACATTGATGCATGTGGTTACGAAGGTCATTTTATAGTTCCTTCTTCCTCACTGCGACAACCTCTCCGGAATCGGGATTCGACAGTGTCTGAGGCAGGAGTACGTAACCGGTTCCCGGGTCCTGTCGCAGTCACAAAAGCACGGATACAGTAAACGGTATCACATTTACACTGTGAGACCTGATGGTATGGTATCCGAGCTTCAGCAATTGGGTGTTCCAATGTCATCATAGTATCACAAGTAATTGTCCAGACGTATCACTCTGAGATCACGAACAGGGAGTCGCTAAGGAAGATTCAGTACTGCATAATTGATTGGATTCGCTCGACTACATAAATGAATCAAACGAAGCTATATGTATTCTAATGATTCGGACAGCCAGTACATTCTTCGTGGTTTCGATGAGCTTGCGCCCATACCTGCTTAGAGGTAAGCTAAGCTCTAAGAGAGCTGGGAAAGGTTTACCTCTTGGTCGCGGTAGCAATCATATACAAGGATTGCTCCTTCTCGTTCCACTGTGATGTACATCCAAGCTTCAGAAGCTGTTATGTGACACTCAAAAGCTTCAACGCCTCCTTCGTGGCAGGGCATGGATTCATAGCTTTTGTCTTGAATATGGAAGCCCGTGTGATAACACTGAGGTCTGTGAGAACTAACTATATCGTTTGCATGCCGAGAACTTACATGGGATGGAATAGTATGCAAATGCTGAATGACTTCTGGAAATCCAAATGGCAGCTCGAAAGCATCCTCTTCGCCACGACGGTCCATGCCTCGGTGATGACATCGATGCACAGAGAACGCTGGTGGTTGCAGCTTAGCCGGCAAAAAGCCCCCACCCGCCGTCGGGGTATCTGTGTATGTGGGAGGATCATCCGTAGTAGTGGTGGATTCTGGGGTTGCAGTGGGTGTTACCATGAGCATTTCCGGAAAGTTAATGCTTACAGCAAAATCAAACTCAGCAGCAGATGGCGTTTGGGGGACTGGATTGTATGGAACGTCCGTCATGCTATCTTCAAGCAGGGGCTCGTGCAACTCCGCGGTGATCATGCCAGGTGCGCACGCCATGTGCTCTTGTATAGACGACATGTGCTGTACATAGTCAGCGTGCGCATACCATACCCTATAGAAATGCTTACTGGAGGTTCAACTATTGCTGAATCGAAGATCTGAACTTCACCTGGCCTTTTAATTTCCATATATACGCAAGCTCCAGAGGACTGCGAATATCGGCTGAGAAGAAGAAAGAGAACATCCTCTTCATTTAGTGGTTCGATGGTATGTAGGACATTTTGGTATTCGTGTATGAGCCGTTCAATGTTCGAGAAGGCTTGGCTCGATTGGACTTCAACAAAACGGCTGATACCAGAAGCAGAAGAGCCAGGATTCTAGTTATGGTCAGCGAAATGTCCTAAGCCTCGAATTATAAGGCCTTACAACGCCACGTTCTAAGAACGAGTTTTTAATGTGCTTTGCGTGAGTCCGATAGTCTTCCACGTTTGGTGGACCCTTTGTTACAAAGACAGAGCTGTACTTTGTGTTTCTGATCTTCCAGTAAGGATCGGACGCGTTTTCCACATACGCGGGAGGTGCAGCGGACGATGAGTCCATTATTGACATCGAAACTGTATTGGTGCAGACAACGAGTGCGAAGGCGGGGCGGGGATCCATTTGAGCTCACCAGCAAAGGCTGCGCCGTGTGGAGCGCTGGGTGAATCAAAACTGACTACTGTGATTGCGCCGCATTAGCAAAATCAGCCTGAGCGCCTCGTGCCAACCATTCGTATCGCGCGATGCGCCTATGTTCGGTTTACAGTATACAGAAGTCCGTTTATTGTTTGTTGAGTTGTGCACCGCCTACACGAGTTTACGGGTTCCAGGATCCGGCTTCGGTTATCCGCATCTGACGCTCACTATCGCTTTTGCTGTGCTAACGCCCATATAATACCTATGATAGCTAGCTAAACCGCTAATCCCGCTCACCTTCAAGGACATAGCATGTTCATTTTAGATATCTACCTCGGCTTCATAGGTGCTGCAGGCTGTCTGCCGCAGCCTACAGTGCCGCCTGCAGTCGCTACTTGTTACACTTTACCCATCGACTTTGCGGTAACACTCCAGTCCTCGATCTATCGCCCATGTTTCTGCATCCGAGATCACAACGCGCTTGTTACTTCCCTAGGCAAAGACGAGCCATGTCTGGTAAGCCAGACTGGCACCTTAATCTTAGTTCTATGGGCTGATTCATTACAGCTTGTACGCTCGGCGGAGGCGGAAGCCGCAGGTCTAGATCCAAGGCAGTACAGTCAATGGTTCTGGGAAACGACAGAAGGATACCGTTACTCGTATGCAGAATGCTGGAGGGACGACATCTCGGTGTGTCAGATGGTTCTTGGTAGTCAAGAGCGAATGCAGCTAGGCTGGCAATACAACTAGAATAGAATCGCGACGGCCGCAGCTTGGTTTTCTGTTAACTGCATAGCAGTATAATGTGAATCTATAAGTATGTCCTGAAGGTCTAGATAACGCGTAGTACGACTCGTTCGACCTACACCGATCGTTATGACTGTCCTTCTTATATGTCGTCGCGTTCTTAAAAAGGCCGCATTGACCCCCAAAAAGCTTCGCAGCAAGCTGTTTTCGCGCAGTATAGAGCATTATAGTAACCCATCAAGCGTTGACTCGTGGGACTACCGAGGTTAGCAACCTAGCTTAGTAAACACTCTCAGACTAACAGCCGCACAGATATAGGTATCTAGGCATTTGGGTACAGGTAACAATCTCAAATATATAGCCATGTCATGCCTGTACTTGCCGCCTGTGACACAACTCCTCAACCCTGGCACCTGAGCCGCTTCTAACTGCTACATTATATTCAGCGGGTTGACATAGTACACCCTCGAGTTGTAGTGCTAGCCAGGCAATCGAGTCGACTAAGGTGCGTCCCTAGGTGAAGAGACACACTGTGTGACGAGACACTTTTTCGTCCGGGCCTTCGGAATCGCGCCACAGGACCTTCAAAAGCTCAAATTCGATGCGCTTATATTCTATAGCTGTCGCTCCTGAAGTATACTCGCCTCCGAGTAGAGAAAGTGCGGTGTTAGACGTGCTGTTGGCCGTTCTACTAATAGCGTTCATCATTCCTCTATTACTAGCCCCCTGTTTACTCGCGACAACGTATATTTGTAGAGCGTCCGGAGAGGCGGACATGGAGTCCAGTTGCTAAAGATCGAGACTACTGTACAGGCTCCGAAGGTCAACTTATCATAAAGGACATACATTCCGGCAGTTTCTCCGCGCCGAAGATATTATCGCCAAGACACTTTCTGTAGGGTACTGCGCTGTAGCTGCTCTTAGCATGCAGCGGCTGCAGTAGCGTGCTCAGGTGTGTCTGTGGCTGTGGCGTAGGTCGGCTGGTTTCTGAACGCGTCTAACTTAGAGCGGCCAGGTGCGTAGACTTTGTTATTCCCGCTAAAGTTAGGTGCTAGTGATCTAGACGCCGGCTGCCCCGCTATCCCGCTATGACTTAGGCAGCAGCCGATACAACTACCCCGCTCTCCCGAATGCTGGACCTGGCGAGCAAGTCTCTAAACATTGTCTCTGCTAATTAATTGCAGCTATGTGTGACGAACAGTGGAACAACAACTTATTTCAGGTATGCCTAGAATGCGAGCCACTTTGTACTATAACTAATGACGCACATGCAGAGGGTAACTAGGCTGTTGAATATTGTACAAATTGCTCCTAACTAACATGGAAGTAGGAGGTGAGCAAGCTGACGGACGTTAAGGCACAGAGTAGATGCTAACCTTAGTGTGTCTGGTGGTGTAGGCAGTAAGTCGACCTGCGAACGTGGATGCGCGAGGTGGCTGCTAACCTTAGTGTGCCTGGTGGTGTAAGGTGCGTCCCTAGGTAACGAGACGCCCTAGGTGACGAGACACTTTTTCTCCGGACCTTCGAAATCGCGCCACAGAGCCTACCGAACCTCAAGCTTGACGCGATGCAGTTTTATAGCTGTAGTTCTTCTATCATAGTGGCTTCCGACGAGAGAGAGCGTGGTGTTGGAGGTCCTGCCGGTCGTTCTGCTCATACTGTTCATCAACTCTCTGCTAGTACCCCCTGTTCATCCGCGACGACGGATGTTTTTAAAACTTTCGGAGCGATAGATAGGAAGTATATTTACTAAAGATATAGGCCGGAGGCTCTAAAGGTCAACTTAAGATGAAGAACATGTGTTCCGGCAGTTTCTCCGCGTAGGTAGCGAGGTCACCAAGACTCATCTTAGAAGACAATAAGCTCTAACCTCACTTAGCATGCAGGAGGCTGCAGTAGCGTGCTCAGGTGTATCTGTGGCTGATCTAGTCACTGGCTGCTCCACTGTCCCGCAATGATTTAGGCAGCAGCGGAATAGACTACCCCGCTTGCTGAAACACTTGCTGTTGCGAGCAAATCTCTCGATGTTGTCCACTTATTTATGACAGCTAGAATTGCAGCAATGTTTGAGAAGACGTGGGACGAAAACTCATTCCAGGTATGCCTAGAACACGAGCACACTTTAAATTATAGCTAATGACAGATATGCAGAGGGTGGCTAGACCATTGTATGTGCTCCAAGTTAATAATGACTAACATAAGTGTAGGAGGTGAGCAAAGTTATAGACGTTAAGGCAAATAGCAGATACTGACCTTGGTGTGTCTGGTGCTGTAGCGGGTAAGTCGACCTGCGAACGTAGATGCGCGAGGCGACCGCTAACCTTGGTGTGTCTGGTGGTGTAGGATGTAAGTCGACCTGCGAATGTGGATGCGCGAGGCGACTGCTAACCTTGGTGTGTCTGGTGGTGTAGGATGTAAGTCGATCTGCGAATGTGGATGCGCGAGGCGACTGCTAACCTTAGTGTGTCTGGTGCTGTAGTGGGTAAGTCGACCTGCGAACGTAGATGCGCGAGGCGACTGCTAACCTTGGTGTGTCTGGTGCTGTAGGTGGTAAGTTCCTTTTGGCGCGTCGCTTATAGCTGATGCAAATTGCAATAACCTTGGGATAGTCAAACTGGTCCTTCACTTTCGACAACGACTTTGCTAGACGATTGCATTGGGTCTTGCCTGAGCGTAGACTACAGGACTATTCTAGCACCGTCCACCCCTGCGCATGTTGCAGTGTCTTAGTAGATCCTACAACCAAGCAGTGGCATCCTCAAGCTCGCCTCTCTGAGATTCGCGTCGCCTCGAGAAGCTGTGCGCTCTGCAAACTACTCGTCCGGACCGCTGAACGCTTTCACCAGAACGAGAACGCTGAACTTAGCGTTGTTCGAGGTCGCGCGGCATTACGACTCGGCCATGGAGGTCCGCGTATGCTGAGGCTTTGTTCTGACGTGGGTTAGTGTTCCTGGCGCCTATAGTGTGCTAAAAACATTCTTTGCTTACTACCTGTCTTGAGCACAGAGTACCCGCCCCCCAACAGAGATGACATCCCAATTGGCTTCCCGGTTCTACCTGAGCCTGAAAGCGCTGCACGCTTCGCGCTCCTTCGAAGCTGGCTTGAATGGTGCGACACAGCCCACAGTTGCAACCAACGGAACGTCAGATCCCAAAGAGCATCGCCAACTAGGCTGATCTACGTTGGACATACCGATCGAGAAGTTCTACGTCTCTATCTCCCTAAGGAAGATAAAGGCGTGAAGTATACTGCGTTGTCTCATCGCTGGGGCGACTATCCCCCAACAAAAGAGGATCCTCGATTCTGCACCACTGATGGCAACCTTAATGCACGACTAAATGGCTTCAGTCTCTCTGAGCTACCAAAGACATTTCGAGATGCAGTTCGAGTGACCCGGGAGCTAGGTATCGAGTATCTCTGGATTGACTCACTGTGCATCATCCAGTGGAATGCGGATGATTGGGAGTGCGAAGCTGGTCGTATGGAGGACGTCTTCGCCTCGGCCTACTGCGCGATCGCTGCTACGTCGGCCGTTGATTCGAATGCAGGATTCCTCGCCCGAAACAGAAGCGCTGAGTACGTGCGTGTTCAAGATGCTGCAGGTAATCAAGTCTATATCTGCACCCACATGGATGATTTCGAGAAAGATGTAGAACAAGCCGGGCTTAACAAGCGAGCTTGGGTCCTGCAAGAGAGGGTCTTGGCAAAACGGACCATCCACTTCAGCGCCAATCAGACCTACTGGGAGTGTGGAGAAGGAGTGTACTGCGAGAACCTTACAATGATGAAAAGGTAAGAAGTCTACTCTATCTAAGTTAACATACAACTAATCAGACACCCCTGTCTTCAGCTCACCTCGAAAGAATTATTTCTTGCTAGACCCAAGCTTTCCGAACCGCCTACTTAGATCAGGCAAAGGACGTACTGTGGAATTTATCCACTTTCTGTTCGAGAACTACTCAAAGCGTGGACTTACCAAGGACACCGACAGATGGGTTGCAGCATCTGGGTTAGAGGCCCGCATTGCACGCGCGCTACCGGGCAAGAACAGTTGGTATGGCATCTTCCAAGAGCATCTTCACCGGAACCTACTGTGGCAGGCGTCGGACAGTAACACGAAGCGCATCGTGTACGATGAAGACCGACAAGTACCGTCGTGGTCATGGATGGCATGCAGCGGAGGCATCAAATTTATGGAGGTTGCAATCGGCTCCGTTAGCTGGGTTAATGCTCTTGCTTTCAATGCCGAACGTGACTCTGCTGCGTTGATCGCCGATGTGGGAAAGTTTCAGCACGTCACTCTGAAGCCAAACGGTAATCGTTACACGGTCTCCAATTTCTTCGGAAGAGCAAAAGGGTGGATCCAATATGATATGGAAGGCGGGGAGAGCGGTCGCAGAGACCGTTGTGTCGTGATTGGACGGACGGAGGAAGAAAAAAAAAACATCAGCAAGAAACACTACTACATACTGGTTGTTGTGCCAACAAGGGAAGATGGGGAGTACACGAGGGTTGGAGTAGGAATGGTTCGAACTGGTTGTGTCAAGAGGTGGAGAGCTAGTGTGCGAATTGTGTAACCGATGCAGTGCTTGTTGAGTACAAGTAGTGTGTATCTGTTCTCCACTTAGTTACACAGGCTATGGTTGGATACCGCTTCCTATTATATGCTTGGTATCGAAGCGACAGTCGTCCTTAAGCGGACGGCTGCTGCGATAAGCAAAGCGCTCAAGCTCAACTCCCCACCCCTAGAGATGGGCCAACCTTACACTGGTCACAGGGCGGGGTTCGAAGTAGAGCTAGCGGCCGCTTATAGACTCATCAGGGAGCGCAGCAGGGGTGCGCCACAGCTGCGCAGATATCTGAGCACGCTACTGCATGCCGAGATGCACTAGCGCATCCCGCCAGTTTGGGCTCGTTTCCAGAGACCTCTTGCTTCGCACTACGGGGCTCCCGGCATGCTCGCTCCCACGTCGGAGTGATCTCTCGAGCCTAGACAATCGATCTTCCTTCGTTGCGCTCTCTTTACAACCCCCCGAGCGCTGAAGCGGTCCCTGAAGTAGGCGATGGACAGGGGGGTGTAGTTGACGAGTTGATTGACGACGGTAACGAAACGATCGATAGCACGGTCAACATAGCCGCGATTTATGCCGGACGCTAATCATCGTAAGAAGCGATCACCATTTAATTGTGATAGACTAATAACAGCTGTGCAAACCTGCAAATAGGGTAGCGCCGAAGTTCCGAAGTGCAAACTTGTCTCGCGACACGGTGTCTCTCCTCACCTAGGGACGCACCTTAGCTAGTAAGTCGACCTGCAAACGTAGATGCGCGAGGTGGCTGCTAACCTTAGTGTGCCTGGTGGTGTAGGATGTAAGTCGATCTGCGGACGTTGATGCGCAAGGCGGCTGCTAATCTTGGTGTGTCTGGTGGTGTAGTGGGTAAGTCGACCTGCGAACGTGGATGCGCGAGGTGGCTGCTAACCTTGGTGTGCCTGGTGGTGTAGGAAGTAAGTCGATCTGCGGACGTTGATGCGCAAGGCGGCTGCTAATCTTAGTGTGTCTGGTGGTGTAGTGGGTAAGTCGACCTGCGAACGTGGATGCGCGAGGTGGCTGCTAACCTTAGTGTGTCTGGTAGTGTAGGATGTAAGTCGACCTGCGAACGTGGGTGCGCGAGGCGGCTGCTAACCTTAGTGTGTCTGGTGGTGTAGGAAGTAAGTCGACCTGCGAACGTGGATGCGCGAGGTGGCTGCTAACCTTGGTGTGTCTGGTGGTGTAGGAAGTAAGTCGACCTGCGAACGTGGGTGCGCGAGGCGGCTGCTAACCTTGGTGTGTCTTATGCTCTAGATTGTAAGCCTCTTTTAGTGCAGCGCTTATAGCTAGTGCAAATTACATAACCTTGGGATAGCCGGACTGGTCATTCACCTTCGACAACATCTTCGCTAGACAATTGCGCAGGGCCTTGCCCGAGCGTAGACTGGACGACCACTCTAGCACCGTTCGGCCGTGCGCCTGTTGCAGTGTCTTTGTAGATCCTGTAACCGAGCGGCGGGATCCTCAAGCTCGCCTCTCTGCGATTCGCGTCGCCTCGAGGAGCTGTGCGCTCTGCAAGTTCCTCGTCCAAGTCGCCGAACGCTTTCACGATAATAAGAACGCTGATGTTAGCATTGTTCGACGTGGCGAGGTACTACGACTCGGCCGTAAAGGTCCGCGTATGCTGAGGCTTTGTTCTGACGTGGGTTAGTGTCCCTAGCCCCTCTGGTGTGCTAAAAACATTCTTTGCTTACTATCTGTCTTGTGTACAGAGTACCCGCCCCCCGACAGAGATGATATCCCAATCGGCTTCCCGGTCCTACCTGAGCCTGAAGGCGCTGCACGCTTCGCGCTCCTTCGAACCTGGCTCGAGTGGTGCGACACAAACCACGCTTACAACCGAGAAAACGTCAAACCCCCAAGGGCTTCACCAACCAGGCTGGTTTACGTTGGACATGTCGATCCAGAAGTTCTACTTCTCTACGTTCCCCAAGATAATGAAGGTGTGAAGTATACTGCGTTGTCTCACCGATGGGGCAACGATCCCCCATCGAAGGACAATCCTCGATACTGCACCACTGACAGCAATATCGCTGCACGACTGAATAGTTTCAGTCTCTCTGAGCTACCAAAGACGTTTCAAGATGCAGTCCGAGTGACCCGGGAGCTGGGCATCGAGTATCTCTGGATTGACTCACTGTGCATCATCCAGTGGAACCCGGAAGATTGGAAGCGCGAAGCCGGTCGTATGGAAGACGTCTTTGCCTTAGCCTACTGCACGATCGCTGCAACGTCGGCTGTCGATTCGAACGCAGGGTTTCTCGCCCGAAATGCAAGAACTGAGTACATGCGTGTACAAGACACCACAGGTCATCAAGTCTGTATCTGCACCCATATGGATGACTTCGAGAAGGATGTACAAGAAGCTGAGCTCAACAAGCGAGCATGGGTCATGCAAGAGAGGGTCTTGGCAAAACGGACTATCCACTTCAGCGCCAATCAGACCTACTGGGAGTGTGGAGAGGGAGTGCACTGCGAAAACCTTACAAAGATGAAAAGGTAAGAAGTCTGCTCTATCTGAGTTAACACACGACTGATTTGACCTTCTTGTCATCAGTGCACCTCGAAAGAATTATTTCCTAATAGACCCAAGCTTTCCAGACCGTCTCCTCAAATCAGGTAGAAGGCGTACTGTGGAATTTATCCACTTTCTGTTCCAGGACTACTCGAATCGTGGACTTACTGAGCCCACAGACAGACGGGTCGCAGCATCTGGATTGGAGGCCCGTATCGCTGGCGCGCTGGACTGCAACAGCAAATATGGCATCTTCAAAAAGCATCTTCACAGGAATCTCCTGTGGCAGACGTCGGTCAAGCAGACGTCGGACAAGCAGACGGAGCGTATCGCGTATACCAACAACCAAGAAGTACCATCGTGGTCATGGATGGCATGTAGCGGAGGCGTCGAATTTGTGGAAGTCAAAATAGGCTCAGTGAGCTGGGTTAAGGCTCTGGCTTTTAATACCAAGTGTGACCCTGCTGCATTAATTGCCGATGTGGGAAAGTTGCTAGGTTGCACGATAAAATCTGAGGGCGATCGCTGCATTGTTCTCGACATTTCTACAAACAACGAGGCAGGGTGGATACGATATGATATTGAGAGCGGTGCAGAAGGTTCGGAAAATCATTGTGTCGTGGTGGGAAGGACAGAGGACAACAACGCCGCTCAGCAATACTATGTTCTAGTCGTTGTGCCCACAGGGAAAGATGGCGAGTACAGGAGGGTTGGAGTCGGAAAGGTGGGAACTGGCTGTGTGGAGAGATTGGGGTCTGACGTGAGAATTGTGTGACTAACGCGACCTTCTGCAGTATTCGAGTCTACGCAATGTGCTTTCGTTTCGACTTTATAAGCACATGCGTTATGTCTGCTTATTCCGCTTCTCTGGCTTCTTTATGCCGGATATATTACAGCTGCCTACCGCACACTTAGTGTTGACGCGACTGTCACTTTTGAGTGGTCGATATCTCCGAAAGTTGACGTGCTAATTACATCTCAACTCCCCGCTGTTAGAAATTAGCCGTTACGCACTGACCACAGTAGCTGTATTTAAGTTAGTCGGCGCAAAGTGTGGACAGCCTACCTAAGTTAGGGCGGGGTTAGAACCCAAAGAACCTAAGCGACCGCCTTGGCTGGCCGCTGTTGCGCGCCACAGCTATAGGCATATCTGAGCACGCTACTGCAGCCTGCTGCATGCCAAGAGAGGCTAGGGCTTATCATCTCGTAGAGCGAGTCTTGGCAATTCCATCCTCTTCGCGGAGAAACTGCCGGAATGCCTATTCCCTACTTTAAGTTAATCTTTAAAGCTTCCTATCTCAGCCTTTGATGTCCCAGCTTCCTTTGGTCCTCACCGAAGGCTCGATACAGATGCGCTATCGTGGACGAACATGGGGGTATTAGTAGAGAGATAATAAACGCTGTGAGCAGAACCACCAGCAGGACGTCCAATACCAGGCTCTCTCTAATCGGAAGCCACCATAACGTCCATCCACTCGTAGCGGAATAACAGCCGTAGCGGAACGCCGGCACTCCTTTTTCTCCTAACTACACCAGCAACAGCTGCATAGCTTAGGTAGCCTCGGAACAGATACCTTAACCCCTCTTCTACCTAGAGGCTTCATGCTGTAATCGCAGCTTTCTTACTTTCTCTACAATACCACGATACGCTGCAAGGCTGCAGAGTGCTGCCGACTCGGACTTCCTCGGGCTATCTCCTACTTCAGTGCACCTATCTAGAATCTTACTATACTGTAGAAGACTGTAAGAAGATAGTATGCCGAGCAGCTTACGACCTCCACGAAGCTGGTTGCGCTGCAGTAACAATCTATTGCTTGATCGAGCCGCGCAGCCCGCATCCTTGCTGTACAGAAGCGGCCTAGCCGTAATCTATCCGCGCGAGATGCCAGCCACAGCTGACTCGTGCGAGCAAGCTTCGGAGCAATCACGTGATGACTGGCGGCTTGCATGGTGCCGCAGCGGGCTGACAGGATGTGGCTAAGTCCGGCGTGTGAGCGCTGATAGCGGCCCAGCTGAGGAGCCAGCGCCTCGTTAGACAGCATCGGTGCGCTTAAGGCTCCTAGCATCGTGTAATCAACTACTACAGCGGCCTCTTTGCGCTCTACTGCGGCTAGAATATGCTACCTCTTAAACCCCGCAGAAGCGGCGATAGCATAGTAGCAGTTTAGAACGTCAGACGCTGTAGCTTAGATACTAGGGAGCAGCAGACGAAGTCGTTAGTCTGCATTTGCACGATTTTGCTATAATGAGATAGAGTAGATTGGTTTAAAACACAAGTAATACGTCGTAAAACCTAGGACTAGCTTTAAAAGCTTAGTCTTGATATAAGCTAAGAAACGTTACACGCCCAGAGGTACACCCTAGACTAACTGTGTACCTGCACACTGCCGAAGTGCAGTTCCGATACTCAGGAGGAAGCCAGAGGAAGCGTCGTGTTTGACGAAATACCCACTGGCCCTCTACTGTAAGAGAAGACGGTTCTTGGCGTTGTAGAACAGGTGGGAAAGGCGCAAGATCTGACGGTAGGGATAAGTCACCTGCATTAGTGTGGAGGGTTCGGCCATCTGGCGAGAACACCACCGCGCTGACCAGACCTGAATGGCCCTTTAGCACACTGCGACACGCGCCCGTCGCCGTCTCCCACACCCGCACTGTCCTGTCGTAGGATGCTGAGGCGACCAGCTGCCCGTCTCGCGAGAACACCACCGCGCTGACCAGACCTGAATGGCCCTCCAGCACGCTGCGACACGTGCCTGTCGCCGTCTCCCACACCCGCACTGTGCTGTCGTCGGATGCTGAGGCGACCAGCTGTCCGTCTCGCGAGAACACCACCGCGTTGACCTCGTCTGTATGACCCTTCAGCACGCTGCGACACGCGTCCCACTCTGCATCTCTCCCTGAGAGTACTCCTACCGCCTGGGGTACCTGTGCGATGAACACCTTCTTCACCACGCTAGCCTCAGGCGAGAAAATAAGAGCAGACGAGTATATCTGGAGGGGCGCCTCGGCAAGTATCGATACGAACCGCAGCACAAACCGGCTTGCATCTCGGAGGAAGTGGGCAATACTACTTTCAGACGGCTACACTTAGGTCAGCGCAAAGCACGGTTATTACTTTACTAGCGACGCCGTACCTTCGCCAGCGCTTGTAGCCTCGCCACGAGTCGCACACATAGACTCGTCTCTTTCATTAGGCTCATCGCTTCGAGCCAGTGCAGAAGGTGTGTCTCGAGGAAGCGGTGCGTGATGTCTCCATCTTCGATACTGCGCCCGCTGCGCTCGAGGTGATGGACCCAGTAGCGACACGCATACTGCAGCTCAGGTGGCAGGTTGCTGTTAATAGTCTCTTCATTGATCTCTGTCCGCAAAGCTCCAGGATCTAGGAGATTACACATGTCTTGTCGAAGGCCGCTAGAGGTCGACATGAGCTCAAGGCAGCGACGCGCCAGGTTCTCATGGGTGCTGCTCTCATCTACATAGAGCCTGTCGCCGCATCGCTTTTGGTCGAGCAGGAAGTCGCAGAACGACGGGTGGTGCAGGCGGAGCGGCCGGCTTTGATTCAGAGTTGCTATCAGTCAATCAGTCAGTTGTCAGTTCATCTTTGCGGTTCAAACTGTCAGTCTGGAGGTAGTGAACTGACCTGATTGACTGCCAAGACATTTTTTAGAATCGCGAACTGAGACTGA